TGTTTCATGTATTCATTTAGAAGTCACAATTTCTATCATTCATTGTTAAGTTGAATTGTCCGACATATGCAGATCAACAATCTTAAATGAACTTCATATCAACAGTATCAGGGATACATGAACGCATGAAGGGTACGGTATGCGAAAGCCAGTGTCCGCAACGTCTCGCCTGTATCATATATATTTAGTTCACTGTAAGCAATAAAAGAATAAAACCAGTAATTTTAACTCTATATTATCATAGAAAGATTTGTGGTGGGGCGTCCTGTAGGCATAGGTCGTAAATTCCAATCTGCCCGATAACAAAAATTTTGTGAGTTAATTTATCTTAACAACGGAGGCTAGATATTATTTCATTTTCTTTTATATTTAATAAAAAAAAAAATTATTAGATGATATAAAACATGTAAAATTTATCTAAGTCGACAAATGCTACTGACTACCCGCAAGGAATAACAGTCGTAAGTCGTGAGTCGTATATTATTTTTTTATTTGTTTTATCCCGTTTTATCAATGCGTAAACTTAGATTTCATAACAAAAAATAATTCGATAAACTTGTTTGCACACAGACGATATGCCTCTATTATACTCGTACTTATGAGTAGGTATGTACGGACGAGTGAGCGTGTTTTTAAACGGCATAAAGCTACTGCTCATGTTATTTTTACTGTGGCACGAGCATGTGTATTGTTTGTATACAAGCGGGTGTGGGCGCGCGGTGACTGGTCGCTGACACCGCCAGCGATAACCTTCGAATTGATGTCAAATGCACATCGCACAAACGGTATCGTAAACCGAATTAGATGCCCGCTGACGCCGTCCTGACCATCAGAGTTGGCACCAATAACGCCTAGTAACACAAGATGATAAGTACTAACGATAAGCTACCTACCTAATAATGGTTCGCTTCCGTCAAGTGTCTGTTACATTAAATTCATTTTTATGATATCTTCATAACGGAGAATTTCTAAAAAATATTTACCGGTTGGTATTGTAAAATTCAAAAGTCGGTAAAACTTATCTATATTATCTAAGGTCTATCTAGGTAAGAACGATAAAATAGTTTTGTTACATTTCTTGAATTGTCTCAAAATATACTTTTTATATAAGGGCTTACATACAAATATTCGCAAGCGGTCAGCAGGTCACGAGGAATAATAGAGCAATATTTTTATACAGACAAAATAAATGGACGGTTAAAATAGACGGTTTGGTACTCATTTTCGCTTAAAAAATATAAGGGGAAAAATTAAATACAAGCTTAAATATCGTAAAGAATGGAATCCCAGAGTTAGGGACTCGTATAAATTATTACGAGCTAGAGTAAAGAAGGAAATAAATAAGTGTCATCAGAAGTTTATAGCGAAGATTGAGCGAGATCGTAATGAAAATATAGAGTCGTTTTGGGGTTACACTAAAAGTAAACGTATAACAAATACTCTTCCGACCTCTATGCACTATAATGGCAAAAAGGCAGATAATGGTCATGATGTTGCAAAGTATGTCGACTATTTTGCCTCAGTGTATGGTACCTGTATCCCTAATAATTATAAACCTATATTTCCAACTGTCAATTCAGCATTATCTACAATTACAATCTCCAAAAATGAAGTCTGTAAAGTACTTAGAGTGTTAAAAATTTATAAAGGGACTGGACCTGATGGTATACATCCAGTGTTTATTCGGCTTTGTTCAGTTGTATTGGTTTAACAATTTTATTTAACAAATCTCTCAAAAAGAGCATTTTTCCTGATATCTGGAACAAGAATTCCAATTCATAAATGTGGTGATAGAGCTAATGTATTTAATTACCAACCTGTTAGTATTTTATGTTGTTTTGTATCATTAATAACCAACATGGATTTGTTAAAAATCGGTCAACCACATGCAATCTTTTGGTATATACAAATTTCATTTGTTCAACGTTTAATAGCAAAAACTCGCGTACGCACGGTCCGCTTTTGAGAAATGCTCCATAGCGACTAAATTCCCAAAAGCTAGACTACCGAATGACATACCCCCCGCGCCCCTCAGAATAGTTGCGTTTACGCAATAACCAAAACAAATGGCACCTTTCTTTTAAGACACCCAGTACAACTGGTGTGAAATAAACCATATGTCCCTGAATATTATTAAATGTTGTTTAATATCTATCACGAAAAATAAAAATACATATCAATTTGAATATAAAAAAGAAAATAAATCACTAAAAAGAGTTACAGTTGTGATAGATTTGGGTATAATATTTGATAGTAAATTACTTTTTCGTGATCATTATAATTCAATAGTAAAGAAAATCAGTTGCTTGGATTTATTATAAGAATGTCAAAACCTTTTAAAAAGGAATCCACCTTAATTATTTTATTTATCTCGTTAGTTCGCAGTGTGTTTGAGTATTGTTCATTAAAGTGGTCGTCAATTTATTCTGTACTTGAGGACAGAATTGACTTAAATCAAAATTTTTTACGTTATATGACTAAAACATATGCGCCAACAAACGTGTATTGGCATGCTATGAAAATAGACTCGAACATTTTATCATCATAAGTTTATTCGCGCGTCGTAAAATTATTGACCTAATATATTTATATAAAATTGTAAATAATGAATTGGAGGGTAATTTATTGGAGTACATAAATCAGAGAGCTACTGAAAACTCGTCTCGTATAACTAAACTTTTTTCTATACCGTTCGCAAAAAATAATGTGTCACATAATAATCTAATATACAGAATATGCAAATTGTACAATAACATTGATTGTATATCGGATACTAATATATTCTATTAGAAATTTTCGTCGTAACGAATCACTTTGCATACATTGATAACCCAATAGTTGATAAGGTTATAGTTTATATTTTGCCCCTTATTTTGTGTGTAGTTTTAATCGTTCATTAACATTCTTTTTGTATTAAAAATGTAAACGTATGCTATTTCATCTCTTTGAATGTACAACTACAATGTAATTGGTTTGCAAACTTATTATGTTATTATTAAATTCTATTAGTAAAAGTTTGTTTGTAATCTGTTGATGTACCACAAAAATAAATAAATAAAATTTATCTTTTATTTAAAAATTAAAAATAAAATCATCATTAAAATAGAAGAACTATCAGAATGGACAAGCCCTAATGTAATCATTACTAAAAAGAATGGTAACAATAGGTTATTTATAGATCCGTGAAAATTAAATAAAATTGGCATGCAAGCTCATCATCCATTCCCTACTTTAGATGAACTTAAGTCAAATCTAAAAGATGTCAAGTGCTTTAGTAAACTCGACGGCAATAAAGGTTTTTACATGTTGAAATTAAATAAAAAAAACTTCCAAGTTACGCACATTCATTACTCCACAAGGTAGATACCGTCTTTTGAGATTACCCTTCGGAGTCTCATCTGCAGTAGAAATAATTCATAGCGAAATAATGAAAAAGTTTAGGGATTTGGATGGTGTTAAAATAATGATAGATATTTTTCTCATACATGAACACTCAGAGCACGATAATAGAACTTTCTAAATTCTTGCAACAGGCTAAAAAAATTACTTAAAATTAATAAGGAAAAAAGGAAAAACAACTAAAGTAAGATACCTAGGTCATATATTCCATTCAGAAGAGCGTGAAAATAGATTCTTCTAATGTAGAGGCTATTTGTAAAATGCCAAAACCAAGGATAAGGATTTAAACAGAAGTATGAGTAACATGGTGTAATTTTGGTCGGTATTTCTATCAACTTTTAAAATGTAAAAAGTGGTTAATGTGACATAACGATAATAGTTGGACATATGGTATCGCGAAGTATTTTTGTATACAGGATGTCCGGTAATGAATGAATAACCTTGAAACGTCTTATAGTTCAATTTATGGCTATTCTAAATGACTACGAAACAAAATATATCATAAGTAGTACCTTTGTTATCTTTATTTAAAAAGAAAGATCAAAGGAATCGTATTGGCTGTAAAATGACGGTTGTCCTGCGTATTATGCTATACCGGTTCGTGCATATTTAAATAGAAGATATCCAAACAGATGAATCGGCCGCCTAGGACCAATTCTGTGGCCTCCACGTTCACCGGCTTTAAATCCACTGGATTTTTTTACTGGGGCTGCCTCAAAGAGTAAGTGTACCGTAAGCCTATACAGTCTTTGGACGAATTACGCAGTCGTGTCAGTGCAGCCGCATCGAAAATAAACGAGCGACGGTACACAAGATTGCTCAGAAGAGCATTTATCCGAAGATGCAGGGCATGCATAAGAGTGGGAGCAAAACAATTTGAGCATTTATTTTAAATTTATGTAAAAAATTAGTTTGCGTATTAAAAAAAAAAAAAAAAAACTGCAATAGCTAGTCATACTATTCACTTTCTATCTATCACTACAGTTAGTGTATAATAATAAAACAACAAAAGACCAATAGAATTCATTCATTTCATGGTCATAGTAAAATAAATTTACTTTCTTTAAAATATAGATAACAAAGGTACTACTTATATTTTGTTTCGAATTTCTTGGGACGGCCATAAGTTGAACTATAAAACGTTTCAAGGTTATCCATTCATTACCGGACACTCTGTTTATCGATATTTTCTTTAATATTGCAAAACATACTTTTGTTCTATCACCAATAGTTTCCGCAGCGCATGCGACGAAAGATATTTTATAGCATTGTTTTTTACACCTTGAGTTACGTTACTAAAGTTTTAGTAAGCATCCCTAATATTTTCTAGCAATAAATATAGCCTATGTTACTCAGCGTGAATGTAGCTTTCTAATCGTGAAAGAATTTTTGAAATCGGCATAGTAGTTTTTGAGTTTATTCATTACAAACATACATACACACAAAAACACAAATCTTTCCTTTTTATAATATTAGTTAGTGTACATTTATAATTATAACGCTGCCCTTTCTTTAGAACAAGGCTCCCTGGCTGATCCCTAACCAATAATTATAAAACAATTTGGGTTGGATAGGAGGATTAAATAAATTAAAAAAAAAAATTAAAAAAATAACACGTTTATTGCCTGAATGCAATCCGAAAGCACATACTATTCAGTACGCGCTCTCCGTCAACGTTATAGTCACAAAAATATCGTTTCACTCTATACAACATAACATAGTAGTAAATCATAGTTTATAGAACAATTGTTTCAAATTATCACTATATAATTTACGCGGCACTGACTGGTTGATCATTCGGTTACAAAACGTGCGATTGATTCCATTCGAGCGCATGGTTCTCTCTCTCCTCGTGCACTTTAAGAAGAACCAAGTCCATAGCTGCCCGAGCATCTTCTAAAGGCGAATGACCTGCGATGTCATGCTGTATGATTCTTCCAAGGAATTCCTTAGAAAGATCACGTAACGATCGCTTTAATGGGAAGCCTTTGGCGTGAGGGTATAATACACATGTGTCCAGTACTGCACTATGTAATAATTTCAACGCTCTGAGGTCGTTATCTAAAGCGTGGCCAATCAGTATCGTATCGGTTCCAACGAATCCTAGTATGTCGTTCTGCACATCTCTTAAAGTCTTGGTCGCGCGACCCAAGTCGCGCGGCCTGATGCCTGAGAACCGGGTATTGTGGTCAACAACAGGCGACTCTGGTTTAACATATGCTTTATATACTAGTCGGCCATCTGGTGCTATAACGGCAATACTCGTTAGTTCCAATCCTGCCGTTGTATAACACATTTCTGTGTCGAGCGCATATACTCCTCCGCGTGGTGAACGCGCTCGTACATATCCCTCAAAAGGCCCGTTCATACCCGGTCGTGTACCACTCCATACGTGGAAGCATGCTAGTGTGCAACCTCTGGTACCGAACACCGCCTCACAACATGTATACCTGTCTCCCATGAGACGGCCCCAGTGGTACATACACGACTCCTTTTTTAAATAATCGCCTTCGCGAGTCACTTCATATACGTTATTGCAACGCACACACAAATGTACATCCACGGCATCGGTTTCTTCTTCACTGTCGGACCGTGAAGTTGAGCCCCACGAACCTTGCCCGCTGTCACCATATGAATCGCTTGGCACGAACTCCGGAGCGTTAACGTCCCACGTCGATACGGTATACGGTAGGGGTCGCGATCGAAGCGGCGGATTTATGTAGAACACTGCCTTCAATGAGTCTGGCTCTATTTCCAGGGGATATCCTAATGCCCACATCCGCTCTGGTGGCAGAAGGTGAGGGCGAAGAGCCTCTGCTAGGTCTTCCGAAGAGATTCTCTGCGGCGTCGACGGCGCGAACGGGGGAAAGTGTAGTTCACGCGGCTCGTGCAGGTGTGCTGCGATGCTGGCAGAATCCACCGTCGTGACGGTCTCTTGATTAAACCGATCATTAAATTCCATATAGTAATACATGTTTCTCCTCTGGCTGGTATACACATGGATTAAACAATTAATACGGAGCTGGAGCCGACTGATACGTGCAGTCGGGCGAGCAGTCGCTGTACTAATGCGCTTTGCTAGGGCACCCCCGCGCTATATATACGTTACGATGCAGGTACATAGGTACATAGGTGCGATAGCGCACCTTCATTAACGGGACATTAAATACATTAATTATTTAATGTATTACTTATAATGTCCGTTCAAACAAATCTAATTGTTTCCAAAATAGGAACAATTAGTTAATTGAAGCTATTTCTCAAAATAGTAATATAATAAACATTAAGTAATATTACTGCTCAAATTACTCTTAATTGCTCCCATTTCAAAATGAAGGTATTAGTCAAAATAATAATATAATAAAATTAATATAGGCAACTGGATATTGATATATGTAAATATATTCTAAGAAATAAATAATAAAGGCATTTTTTTTTACTATTTTCCAAATAATGACAATTAATAATAATTATGTTTAATAAGAAACATATTTATTCCAACGACGAAACAAATGGTCTAAATAACTTACAAAAGATCAATCTTCGCAAAAATGCGCATATGTAATTCATAAATAATGTTTTACTTATTTATATTACAATTAATATTCCTCTGAAGATTTAACTACCAAACCACAGGGTAAAACAGACTGTTACCGTTATTAGTAAAGTAACATATTTTCATTAAAATTTTGGTTATCTATCGCTGTATACACTTAATTTAAAACTCTAACAAAAGTATATTCTTTATAGTCGTGAATATATAATTTTTTTTATTATTTTTATCCCGTCTTATCAATGCGTTAACTCAGATTTCATAACAAAAAATAATTCGATAAACTTGTTTGCACACAGACGATATGCCTCTATTATACTCGTACTTATGAGTAGGTATGTACGGACGAGTGAGCGTGTTTTTAAACGGAATGAAGCTACTGCTCATGTTATTTTTACTGTGGCACGAGCATGTGTATTATTTGTATACAAGCGGGTGTGGGCGCACGGTGACTGATCGCTGACACAGCCAGCGATAACCTTTGAATTTATATCAAATGCGCATCGCACAAACGGTATCGTAAACCGAATTAGATGCCCGCTGATGTCGTCCTGACCATCCATCCCTGACATGGCGCCAGCCAAGCGCCTAGTAACGCAAGACGATAAGTAACTACCTACCTAATAATGGTTTGCTTCTGTCAAGAGTCTGTTAAATTTAATTCATTTTCATGATATGCGAGCCTTCATAACAGAATAAATTTTGTTTATGAAATTACGTAAATCTTCGTCAATTTTAAATCTACGTTAATAACTTTTTGCAAAAGATAGGATTTACGTCCCATGTTAAGTCATGGTTCAATTTTAATGGAATTTGGAGACTAAATATAGTAATAGGTAAACAATATTTCATCTTTTTTACTATCATTATATCAGCCATTAAATGTCTACTGCTGTCTACTACTGTAGTTGGCACGCTTGGCAGGCGAGTTTTAGTGATGTTTTAAGAGGGATACTTCTGCCCATCCCTCACCCGTTCAGTTCCCTAAATTGCCCCTTACGACACCCATTGTTACTATTAGAGATGGGCAATCCACCTGGGTGGGTTTAAAGTCTGGTGGGTAAAAACCGGGTGTTTTGGGTTTATTGGGTTTAAACCCCATAAACACCCAAATTTTTGGGTGTTTATGATTTTGTACTTCATCATCGTCATCTCAGCCGCAAGACGTCCACTATACTGGACATAGACAATATTATTATGCAGCCTACAGAATAAAAAACTTTTAATTTGATTTTGAGTTTATTAAGAAAGAGATGAAAGTAAAATGTAAAACTACAGTCAATCACTGTCAGATTCAGAGTTATTACAAGCGATGAATTGTATAGGTTCGATAGGCTCTATTTCGTCTAAACTGTTATGTTCATTTACTTGCTCAATGAAAGCTTCTAAGGTATTTTCTTCATTAAACTGAATGTCCTCGCATTCAGCTTTATGTTTAAGATTCCAGTTATAACAAATGAATGAAATTTTTTCAGTTCTTTCAGTTGTAAGTCGATTTCTTTTGTTATTATGTATGTAGCCTTGGATACTAAAGGAACGCTCAGTGGCTGCCGAAGTACAGGGAGCTGATAGAATACGAATCGCTACTTTGCTTAACTCAGTGGAACCACAAATACCTTTCCACCATATTAGGGGCTCAATGCTATCTAATGAGCTCCATACAAATCCTCTGGCCCAAAAGTTTTCTTTAGCTTTATAACACGCCAAATCTGCCATTACATTTGACAAACTTAAGTGTTGGCTTAAATTGTAGATTAACTCCATACCCTTAAGTTCTTCCTCTTGAGTAAGTTCGACTCCTAGAGTCCTGGGGTCTAGAATATATGCTGCAAAATGTATTGGCCTCATTGCCATATTGCATCTTGAAGATACTGATGTTAGAATCTGCTGTTTGCTTTCTTCGCTCAATGTCGAAATCTCATTTAATGCAAAACGTATCTTAGCTTGTACATCTCTAAATGTAATGTATGTGCGATGCAAACGATTCTGGTCGCTCTCTAAGTAAAATATGCTTTCAGTGACTGGTTCCAAAATACTTATACATTCCCCTGTCTTCGTCCAGAAATCATCACTTAGAATTAAATCTTTAATATCTCTTGAAATTACCACATCTTCTCTAACTGTTAATATTTGCAAAGCTATCTTATTTGCTTTCAAACTTTTTAACGAAGTAACATGACTTCCCCATCTTGTAGCACAAGGCAATTTTAGTGTTTGTGTAGAATCTTCACCCTGCCTTGATTTTATCAACAAGGAACTTAATCGTTGACTCCTTTTAACAGTTTTTATTATATTTATGGCTTGCATAATAAACACAGTTACTTCTTGTATCTTTACAATATCTTGGCACAACAAGTTAAGGATATGTGCACAGCAACCGAGAGGAACAACATGTGGATATTTGAGTTTTGTTAATTCGAATGCCTTTTGTATATTTCTAGCGTTATCGCCAATAAGTACAAGAAACTTATTTGCTCCATACACTTTCATTACTTTTTCAACTTCTTGGCTAAGGTATTCACTAGTGTGAGGATTACTTTCTGTATTCAAACTTTTAACGTATGCAGGTTGAGGTTTTGATATAAGAAAGTTTATTATTCCTTCATTTCTTAAATTAGACCAGCCATCGCACTGAAGGTGTAAGTAACTACAAGCATTTAGTTCCTCATTTAACTCAAAACGCATTTCTCTATATATTTTATCTAAGTATTTTGTCGCTAAAGCTTTACGTGAAGGTATTTTAAATTTTGGTTGCAATTTTTCGAAAAATTGTATCCATAAAGGATGTTGCACCATCGATAATGGCGTCCCTGTTACAAATATAGCTCTCGCTAATTCTGTTTTTATATGATCATCGGTGTCTTGAAACTCAGCATTTATTGTAGTGTTAGCAGACGACGAGGGGCTTATAAAAGAATCATTTGTCTCTATCTCTGACAGTCCAGACATTTTGGTTTTGGACGAGCTATCTTTTATAAGTTTCATAGAGTCTTTTAATGTTTCTGGAGATTTTGGACAAGTGATAAGATGTTGAAGCATTTTGGCAGCATTACTGAATTTGTAGACCTTATTACAAAGCTTGCAAGAAACAGACTTGTTTGGTAAAGTACGGTAGTGCTCCCATATGCGTAAATCTTTAGGTCTCCCCATTGAACCTAAAAAAATGAACGATGATTAGTTGGTCTGACGAAAATTCAACAATAGAGTGCCTATTTTTTTACAATGATTATTTCTTGTTATTTACAATAAATTTATTAAAAAAATAATAAAATAAATACAAAAAACCTTTGTAAAATTACATCTCCTCGGAGGATTAAACGCAGACGCTAGTTTATTATCGTATTGTTCTGTATTTTTCTCAGCAACTTCTTTAATTCGATTAGGTACTTACGCATATTATGTTAAAAATAAATATCTAGTACACATCTTAGGCTATCCACCATTATTATCCAATGACGACTCTCAGCTAACTATGCACTATCATCCAAAATAAACGTGTATGGAAAATTTTATCCCAGTCGGTTGAGGATTGAGGATAATTGCATCAACATACGAACATACCTACATACTTTTATTTACATAACGCAAGCTAAATAAAAGCTTGTAATAATACATCTAATTTTAAGTTAAAATTGTTAAGTGATCATGATATAATTGTATCATTCAAAAATCCACTTACCTTTAATTATTTCTTGTTAAGTATAAATATTATTTCAAATCTGCTCCCTTAATATGCACTTTTTTACTGCTTTTCCTACCTAACACGTTACCAGGAAGTCACGTTACCAGAGTCAGAGTAATAGTGAACACGTTTGACAGTGATTGTCGTCGCCTCATATTCAGCGTCGACGAATAGGGGAATCCCCAGTCATAATGTATTGCATGCGTGGCGGTCTTACTTCAAATCCATAAACAAAGAGATAATTACAGAACTCGATACTAGATGGCGCTGTTTTTGTTTGAAGAAAGTTTGCGGGCTAAAATACATAGAATTTCATCAATGACTTCCACAAAGAACAACATTTCTGTTTTTTCTAAGTCCGTATCTCTTCCGTATATTTCATAAGATATAAGCTTGGGCTACATTGTTATGCAACGTGATTTTGTCGCTGTCTTGCTAGCAGGGTTGACAGATATACGATTTAAATCGTACTCATACTATTATTTGTCTATTTTTTAATGTACGATCGTAAAGATTATGATCGTAATTCGCACAAAAACATACGACTTTTTGGTTACCTGGCAACATTTTTATTATGAAACGAACATGCTCACATCATCAGTCACATGCAACAATTTATTGGGGATTTCCCCTTCACATCTGGCAGTCCTGCTTGCTAGAATATAGGTAAGTCAGCCACAGTTACTGACGATCGATATTTAAAGGGTATTGTTTTTGTGCTAAATATTTCATAAAAACGTTATTTAATACTTTGTGGATTATTAATTTAGTTGATAATCACTGGAAGTAAAATGGATGCTAATTTGAGAGATCAAGATCTTCGTATAAAACAGTTAATAAAAGAAAATCTACGTAAGTACTCTTTTTATACCTAGGTAGGTAAGGTATAATAAACACAAAAGGTACTTAGATCGCGTGTGTTCGAAGCATTTATTCTAATAAATTTAATTTAAAATTGTAGAAAGAAAAAAATGTCTGCCAAGCCGTAGCCGAAGCCGATCTCCAAATATATTTGGCGATAGTGAGACCCAGTGTCCAGATGATTTACCCAGCGTCGTCGCAACAACCAAAAAAAACGAGGATAAAGTAAAAGAAAATTTACTGAAAGAAGAAACAAACTGTTCTAAATGCTTAATTTATGGAGAAGAGGATAAAAGAAATGAGTATTTCGGACTGTTAGTGGCTCAAGAATTTAAATATATACGGCCATGTGTGCGAACGAGGTGTTATGAAGAAATTTTAAAGTATCTACGGGAAGCAAAAGGCCAACATGTTGATCAACTGCAACATGAAAACACTGAAAATTAATTACTTTCATTTTATTATATATAGATTTTTAAAATTTCCTGAAATATTATTAGTTAACGTTTTATTTAATATTGTAGAATTGATCAATACAATTTATAAAAATAATTTATTGGTATTACTTACATATTTTCAAAAAAATACGTAAAAACCTATTTTTTTGGGTGATTATGGGAGTTTATGGGTGTTTATTGGGTTTTTACCAAAGCACCGGGTTTAAACCCGGTGCTTTGCCCATCTGTAGTTACTATACTAAAGAGAAACATGGTCTTTTAGAATTTAGTATTCATGAGTGAATCTGTGCAGCTTTTTTTATAACATAGGCAAATGAGCACGTAGTTTACCTGATAATTAATTACCATCGTCAATAGACATTCGTATAACTTTTCCCAAGTAATTTTTTTTTTTTTTTTTTCATTTCATTTATTTTTAATACACTACAATACAGATACAATAATTTATTCAATACAATACAAATTTGAAACAAAACAAAACAACTTCATAGACACAAATGAACAATGATTGTAGTGACAACCATACTAATGCCAAAACTGATATGAAAATAATTTTCAGCCCTTTCTTAATAAATTGACTACGAGAGCCTGAACTTTCTTTAATATAGCGTTCATCCTCTCTATCCTTGACTTTGATTACCCATTAACATTCCCCCACTGTATAAATAAACTGATATAGCATAGTAGGTATATTACGCTGACCGGGACCTTGGTATAGGGTTACTTTTCTTATTATATTTGCCTTCTCTTACACTCTCGTATATGTTCTTTACTTCTTAGTTGGTTTTTACAACAGCTTGAATATGAAAAGGAAAATCCTTCCTACACAATTTACCTATATTTCAATCAGTTTTGGAATTATGATAATTATTATTTTTAACTACTTAAGTAATTAAAATGAACTTACTTTCCAATAATTAAACCATTAATGATATTTCATCAATGACTTATGGTAATGTAATGACTATTTAGTTAGAATCTGTTAATTTTTGTACTAATTTTATATTGTAATATACCTATAGATCCTAGATAACTAACGCTAGTTGTACGGATATTGGAATTTATTAGTTGATAATTATTTAGGAATTCGTCATAAATTTACTAGATACTATTATAATCATTAATGATGGTATTTCATTATAATTATCATCATTATTGCTTCAAGCCTTACATTGTCAACCGTTATATGTCTATTACATGTGCATATTAATTAGGTGAAAACCACTAAATGTACTTTAATACGTCATTGCCCACTACAAGAACTCAAAATTTTTACAGAAGCCAGTGCAATCGTGTGATTCTGGATCATTAAATTTCAATTTTATACTTTCTTTCAAGTTAAACTATTTAATTTCTTTTCTGTAATAGACACAGTTGCTATGCTTACAATATTTTTAGAGTCATTTATAATTATCGAATAAATAAAATACCGATTGTCGTGTATTAGCTACATCTCTGAAAATTGTATCTATTACCTACATATTTGTAACATATAATATGTATATTAATCTACTGCTAATAATAACTACCCACTCACTACTTTCTATGCCACTGTGCTTTTTTTTATTTTTTAATGGGTGATAATGAAATGGTAACCTCACCGGCGCTATCAGTATACGCTGGCGAGGCACCAGTAAGGAGTGATAAGTGGCGATGAAACTAGGTCCATAAGCCCATCGTGACGAATTCAACTTAAATTAACCACCATAGTTTTTTTGGGGGGGAAAGGAATTGTTAGTAATAGAGACTGAGAATCCCATTGCTAGCAATATACCCAACCAGGTCGACCTCCTCGCGGTTCCCCCTGGAAACTATTATGGTTAATTCCTGATGAATTTATCATCTTCACTGATGCTCCGCCAGCGTATCCCGTTAGCGCAGGCGGGGTTACCATACCATTTTCACCCATCAAAAAAAAAATTAGTTTGCGTATTAAAAAAAAACTGCAAGCTAGTCCTACTATTCACTTTCTATCTATCACTACAGTTAGTGTATAATAATAAAACAACAAAAGACCAATAGAATTCATTCATTTCATGGTCATAGTAAAATAAATTTACTTTCTTTAAAATATAGATAACAAAGGTACTACTTATATTTTGTTTCGAATTTCTTGGAACGGCCATAAGTTGAACTATAAAACGTTTCAAGGTTATCCATTCATTACCGGACACTCTGTTTATCGATATTTTCTTTAATATTGCAGAACATACTTTTGTTCTATCACCAATAGTTTCCGCAGCGCATGCGACGAAAGATATTTTATAGCATTGTTTTTTACACCTTGAGTTACGTTACTAAAGTTTTAGTAAGCATCCCTAATATTTTCTAGCAATAAATATAGCCTATGTTACTCAGCGTGAATGTAGCTTTCTAATCGTGAAAGAATTTTTGAAATCGGCATAGTAGTTTTTGAGTTTATTCATTACAAACATACATACATGCAACACACAAAAACACAAATCTTTCCTTTTTATAATATTAGTTAGTGTACATTTATAATTATAACGCTGCCCTTTCTTTAGAACAAGGCTCCCTGGCTGATCCCTAACCAATAATTATAAAACAATTTGGGTTGGATAGGAGGATTAAATAAATTAAAAAAAAAAAAATAAAAAAATAACACGTTTATTGCCTGAATGCAATCCGAAAGCACATACTATTCAGTACGCGCTCTCCGTCAACGTTATAGTCACAAAAATATCGTTTCACTCTATACAACATAACATAGTAGTAAATCATAGTTTATAGAACAATTGTTTCAAATTATCACTATATAATTTACGCGGCACTGACTGGTTGATCATTCGGTTACAAAACGTGCGATTGATTCCATTCGAGCGCATGGTTCTCTCTCTCCTCGTGCACTTTAAGAAGAACCAAGTCCATAGCTGCCCGAGCATCTTCTAAAGGCGAATGACCTGCGATGTCATGCTGTATGATTCTTCCAAGGAATTCCTTAGAAAGATCACGTAACGATCGCTTTAATGGGAAGCCTTTGGCGTGAGGGTATAATACACATGTGTCCAGTACTGCACTATGTAATAATTTCAACGCTCTGAGGTCGTTATCTAAAGCGTGGCCAATCAGTATCGTATCGGTTCCAACGAATCCTAGTATGTCGTTCTGCACATCTCTTAAAGTCTTGGTCGCGCGACCCAAGTCGCGCGGCCTGATGCCTGAGAACCGGGTATTGTGGTCAACAACAGGCGACTCTGGTTTAACATATGCTTTATATACTAGTCGGCCATCTGGTGCTATAACGGCAATACTCGTTAGTTCCAATCCTGCCGTTGTATAACACATTTCTGTGTCGAGCGCATATACTCCTCCGCGTGGTGAACGCGCTCGTACATATCCCTCAAAAGGCCCGTTCATACCCGGTCGTGTACCACTCCATACGTGGAAGCATGCTAGTGTGCAACCTCTGGTACCGAACACCGCCTCACAACATGTATACCTGTCTCCCATGAGACGGCCCCAGTGGTACATACACGACTCCTTTTTTAAATAATCGCCTTCGCGAGTCACTTCATATACGTTATTGCAACGCACACACAAATGTACATCCACGGCATCGGTTTCTTCTTCACTGTCGGACCGTGAAGTTGAGCCCCACGAACCTTGCCCGCTGTCACCATATGAATCGCTTGGCACGAACTCCGGAGCGTTAACGTCCCACGTCGATACGGTATACGGTAGGGGTCGCGATCGAAGCGGCGGATTTATGTAGAACACTGCCTTCAATGAGTCTGGCTCTATTTCCAGGGGATATCCTAATGCCCACATCCGCTCTGGTGGCAGAAGGTGAGGGCGAAGAGCCTCTGCTAGGTCTTCCGAAGAGATTCTCTGCGGCGTCGACGGCGCGAACGGGGGAAAGTGTAGTTCACGCGGCTCGTGCAGGTGTGCTGCGATGCTGGCAGAATCCACCGTCGTGACGGTCTCTTGATTAAACCGATCATTAAATTCCATATAGTAATACATGTTTCTCCTCTGGCTGGTATACACATGGATTAAACAATTAATACGGAGCTGGAGCCGACTGATACGTGCAGTCGGGCGAGCAGTCGCTGTACTAATGCGCTTTTTTTTTTTTTTTTTTTTTTTTTTTTTTTTTTTTTTTTTTCTGAATGTGTTTGCTGTTGGCCGTGTGTGGCCTTTACAGCTTCACCGGACGCGAATGCAGGGGCGAGTGCTGATGGCACTCCAAGCCCGCGAGAGGGGAGCGACAGAGGTGTCGACTCTTTCTTATGGACTGCGGTGTGTGTGTGCGCCTAAGGGCGCCAGAGTGGCTCGGCCTCGGCTTAGGCCACCGCACTTCGACCCCCGTCGAGGGACGGCGAAGGGTCGGTACGTCTGGGTGGGTGAGATTGCGACGCGGTTGTTATGCGCTCGGGCGCAAACCTGATCGCGCGCGGACCGTGTGTCGCGAGGGTTCTTCGCCCCCGCCGGCGGGGGCGGTGTGTGCGATGTGTGGGTGTGTTTGTAGGGGCTCTTGTCGAGGGTTCCGCGGTAGGTAGGGAGGGAGACGCGTTTGCCGTCGTAGTTGGATCATCGGGGTCCAAGAGTGCGTGCCTCGGGCGACGACGTTTTGGAGCGACGTTCTCTATGGGGGGTTTGTATTTGACCGCTCTTACTATGAGCGGATTTGAATGGGACTCGGCTGAGGCAAAGTAGCGTCGAGACGCTTGCTTCATAAATTGCCTTATAGTGGGTATTTTGAGGTCGCGGTGTAGATCCACGTTGCGCACGTACCACGGGGCGCCCGTGGCCCGTCGCAGAAATTTATTTTGCACCACCTGAAGGGGGTGAAGTAATGAAGGAAGGGCGTGGGCGAAGACGACACTAGCGTACGTCATCACCGGTCTTATACATGCTTTATAGAGCGTCAGCTTTGCGTTAAGCGACAATTGGCTGCGCTTGTTAATAAAGGGATGGAGGCGTCCCAGTATAAAATTGGCCAGGCCTCGGACGCGCTTAAGATGAGATGCGAAACTCAACTTGGAATCTAGTGTCACGCCTAGGTATTTGGCTTCGTTCGTCCAGGGGACGGGCGTGCCAAACAGCTGAATAGAGGCGGGAAGGGATGGTTTTCTTTTGGCCGTGAAAAGCACGGCGGCGCTTTTATCTGGGTTGACTTCGATGCGCCATTTTCTGAACCAGTAGGCCAGCTCGTCCACCGCCCGTTGAAGCCTGTTGGCTGCACAGGCGGCCGACGTGCTGTCCACATATAGGGCTGTATCATCAGCAAAGAGGGCGATTTGCACTCGGGGCTGACGCGGGATGTCGTTGGTGTACAACGAGAAGAGGGTGGGGGAGAGGACAGCGCCTTGAGGGACGCCGGCTCTAATCGGTCGTGCGCTGGAACGCACTCCATTGACGCGATAGCGATATGACCTATTGGACAAGAAGGCTCGTATGATGTGCACGAGCCTGTCTGGCACTCCCATCTTGTGCAGTTTGAAAATCAAGCCGCTGTGCCAGACTTTGTCAAAGGCCTTCGCTACGTCGAGAAACAGGGCACATGTGACCCCGTTGGATTTCAGGTGTCGGGCGTTGAGGACGTGTTCTACTACACGATGTACTTGATGAACAGCTGAGTGCTTGGCTCTAAAGCCGAACTGCTCATCGATCAGGATGCCTTTGGACTGTAGCCAGTCTTTCAGGCGTGCGAGTATTAGCTTCTCATACAGCTTCCCCAGCGAGCTGAGGAGACTGATGGGGCGAAAACTGGTGGGAAGGGACTTATCTTTCCCAGGTTTGGGAAAGCCTACGACATCGGCTTCTTTCCAAGCATCTGGAAAGATGGCATTGGTAATTGCCGCATTGAAGATCGCTACTAGAAGTAGCAGAATGGTTTCTGGCAGACTCTTAAGGAGTCTGTTAGAGATACCGTCGGCACCGGGTGCCTTTCGGTTGGGGGTTCCTTTGATGAGTGTTCGCACCTCATCCAGTGTAACGGGGGGAGTGACTCTACTGGAGGGATCGACAGGATTCGCTCCACCTCGGATTCTACCTTCTCTAGATGATCATCGGGCACCGGAAGGGTACTCGGCATGCATTGGGCCTCTAGGCTGTCTGCTAGGCATTCAGCCTTTTCTTCATCAAATAAGGCCGGACTGTTGTTTGTTCGGACTAAGGGCGGAAGGTCGGAGTAACACTGGTCTGTTTTGAGGGTTTTGGCTACTCGCCAGTACGCGGTATGGCAGGGGGTGAGTTCTTTGGTGAACTTATCCCATCTGTCTCGCCGAAGTTCCGCTATGCGACTCTTTACTTCGCGCTGTAAATCTCGCAGGCGGGTTCGGTTCTCTTCTGAGGGATAGCGGTCATACGCTCGTGTGGCTGCATTCTTAGTGCGCAGCAGAGCCCTTACATCATCAGGCAGGTTCCATCTACGGTCGCCCGTATCCGGAACCTCCCTGGAGCAGTCCTTGACTGCCGACTGCAGGTGCTCTGTTAGCGCGTCAATGGCTGTAGTCGTCTCCTCGATAGATTCGACTACGTCCGGGATGCGGTCCAGTACCGGAGAGTTAGTCGACTCGAGGACTTTCTCGAGCCGGCTCCAGTCCGTGACCGTTTTAAATTGAGGCGCCCCGTCTGCAGGTGGGCCTAGCGAGAATGTGACGGGGCGGTGGTCGGAGATGAGTTCGGCATGGACCTCCATAGAACTCAGCCTTAAGGCTACGTTCTTTAGTAGGGCCATGTCGAGGATGGAGGGCTGATGAGCAGTGTTTGCCGGATAGTGCGTGAAGTGCACTGGGGGAAGGATGTCGAAACCCATGGAGAGCGAAAGGCGTTCCAGGGTGAGACCGTTTGGGTTCGGATAAGCACAGCTCCAAAGGCTGTGCTTGCAATTTAGATCTCCGGCAATAATTACCGAATCCCCCAGGTCCATGAGAGCTTGGAGGTCGGCCCGGAGTAGCTTTTTGGAGGGAGAGAGATATGCCGATGCTATATAGATCGGTCGGTGGTCTGTCATCGCGAGGAGGCATATCGAGGCTTCCATGTTTACGAGCGGAGGCGTGTCGATCGGAATGCACTGAAGGGACCTTCGGTAATAAATTAACGTACCGCCGCCGCGACTGATGCGGTCATTGCGTACGATATTGTAGTTTGCGATTCTTGGACCGCGTGTTGAAGGCTTGAGGAAGGTCTCCTGTAGTAGGAGAACGTCCACCTGATGGACGGTGAGAAACTCACGGACTTCGTCTCTTTGCCCTTGTAGTCCGTTAGCGTTGAAAAACGCTAACTTAACGGACCGAGGTTTGCATCTTTTCGCCCTTAGATCCATAATTAATTGTTAAAATTGAGGATGGCGACTAGTACGCCGATGTGCTCGCAGACGGCTGCGAGTCTTTCTTGTGGGTCGTTGACTGACCTTAATTTGGAGGCCAGGGCCGTAATCTCGCCAGCGTCGATGGAGCTGGCGAGTTTCGCTACCAGTGCGAAGTCGGCTGCGAAGCTTGAGCCTATGTTCGTTCCAGTTTGCGGGGCGGGGCGCGGAGGAGCGGGCGATGCCACAATCTTGGCAAGCGTGGGAGCGGTTGCAGATGGCATGGTGGGTGAGGGGGTCGCCTTGACGACCGGAGGTCGCACCCAAGCATTTTTTGGCGGGGGAGGTGGTGCAGCTGAGGGCTGCGGGATAGTAGGGGGCGCGGGGCGTGCTGCGCGGGGTGCCTGAGCCTTTGTGGCTTTTGCGGAGGCCTTGTTTTGGCCGGGACGGGGAGCGCGGGGACATCCGCGGTAGTTAGCTGTGTGGCCCTGTGTGCCACAGAGTACACAGCTAGGTGGGGTCGGGGTGCCACTCACGCGAGTGCATTGCTTGGTGCCGTGGTCTCCCAGGCACTTGACGCAACGTTCGCGCGCGTAGCAGTTTCGGGCGGAGTGCCCATAATTTTGGCAGCGGTGGCACTGCCCGGGGTAGGTCCGCTTATTTGGCGGTTCTACTGATAGGCCTGAGATCAGGCAGACACTTCGGATGTTGAAGATAGATTTCCCCTCTGGGGAGAGATCTAGTACCACTAGTACCATGTCTAGTGGCGTTTTGGCCCTGCTGCGGTACATCCTGTGTACCTCGTGGACGGGGTAGTTTTGTGAGCGGATATCTGCGAGGATGTCCTGGCAGTCCAGCTCCTTAGGGACGCCGCGTATTACTACGCGCAGTCGTTTCTCCTCCTCGAGGGCATAAGTGTGGTAACCCACACTGTTTGTCCTGAGGAAGGAAGTTAACTGGCGATGATCCGCCGATGTGGGAACCACTACTCTGATTCCTAGTGAGGTTACCCTTGCATGGGTAAAGGATATGCGCTTTTCCTTCAGCGCAGCTGACACCCTGTTCCAGGCTGTCTTGTCCTGGATGATTATAGGAGGAGGAGGCCTCACTTTCCCCGCGTGATCGCGGTCGGTTTTATCGGCGTTAGCCGGAACGGGTGCGCCATCGTTGGCACGTTGGGTTTTAGGCGGGGGAAGATCGCGCGCCGCTTCGCGCGTTTGGTGCGCTTGGCACCCACAATTTGAAATTCCTCTTCCGAGGAGGAGGCAGTGTCGGAGGAGTCGCCTGTTTCGGCGACGACGTTGGGAGCGTCTAGCTCCATTTCCGTTTCAGAGGAGGGGCGGTTGGGAGCAACCTCCTGAGGGGACATCGGCTCCGGGGTACTCACTAGGTGGTCCCCGGGGGAAGGTGGGTTTGAGGACAGCTCGTCGTTGGCCTCCTGAAGGGAGGCCGCCGGCGAGGCAGGGGCGTCGTCATGTATCACATGTGCGCCCCTGCGCTCATCGAAAAATGCCTTTAAGAGGCCAGGACATTTGGCCTTTAAAAAGGCCACGAATTGTGGAATGTCATCCTGGGACAGCGACATGTTGTCCCAGGAAACACTCCTCTTATAAATTAGCAATGCACCCGACTCTTAAGTCTGGTGCCAATACCTAAAAATAATTTAAATTTATAATACGGACAATGCGCTACTATAAAAGTGGACACAAAAAATAAGCCGCTACAAGCCGCGTATATAAGGGCCTGTTGGGACCTGTCCAGGTATGAGTCGCCCTTTATACAAGGATTAGTCACCGGCCGGGCGACGGTTACCCGGCCGCTTTGTGTACAGTTAACCGCCCCGCCGAGTACGGCGGGGGGGTGTGTGCCTATTGTTAATGTAACAATGGAATGTAGTCACCGGAGTGACTTGTGTACCTGTTGCCGATACTTGGCCGGGGTGTCGAAGGCGGCGCGGGTCGCCGGGGAGGAAAGTGCTGGTCTCTGGCACCGGCTCCGGAGCTGGTGCGCTGCGCTTATGGCGCAGTACACCACCCTAACACTTGTTAGTCCGATGCACTAGAGTTCACAACACTACACAATTGTCACTTGTAACTGTTCACATGCACTCACTGCACTCGCGACGCGACGAGGTGGCAGCGCGTGCCGTGTACGCGAACGGACGGCCGTTAAAAAGCGCGCGAAACTAAGGCGACGAACGAGAACCTCGTGCCCAAGTTGTTCTCTACTTTTCTTCGTGTCCGACGTGTTTGCGTATCCGCTGACTCCGTGCAACAAGGCAGCGCTACACAACGGAGTATTGATGCCAGTAGTGACGCGTGCGTCACCAAAGGCTATCGAATGAGCAATGTGCGCTTTGCTAGGGCACCCCCGCGCTATATATACGTTACGATGCAGGTACATAGGTACATAGGTGCGATAGCGCACCTTCATTAACGGGACATTAAATACATTAATTATTTAATGTATTACTTATAATGTCCGTTCAAACAAATCTAATTGTTTCCAAAATAGGAACAATTAGTTAATTGAAGCTATTTCTCAAAATAGTAATATAATAAACATTAAGTAATATTACTGCTCAAATTACTCTTAATTGCTCCCATTTCAAAATGAAGGTATTAGTCAAAATAATAATATAATAAAATTAATATAGGCAACTGGATATTGATATATGTAAATATATTCTAAGAAATAAATAATAAAGGCATTTTTTTTTACTATTTTCCAAATAATGACAATTAATAATAATTATGTTTAATAAGAAACATATTTATTCCAACGACGAAACAAATGGTCTAAATAACTTACAAAAGATCAATCTTCGCAAAAATGCGCATATGTAATTCATAAATAATGTTTTACTTATTTATATTACAATTAATATTCCTCTGAAGATTTAACTACCAAACCACAGGGTAAAACAGACTGTTACCGTTATTAGTAAAGTAACATATTTTCATTAAAATTTTGGTTATCTATCGCTGTATACACTTAATTTAAAACTCTAACAAAAGTATATTCTTTATAGTCGTGAATATATAATTTTTTTTATTATTTTTATCCCGTCTTATCAATGCGTTAACTCAGATTTCATAACAAAAAATAATTCGATAAACTTGTTTGCACACAGACGATATGCCTCTATTATACTCGTACTTATGAGTAGGTATGTACGGACGAGTGAGCGTGTTTTTAAACGGAATGAAGCTACTGCTCATGTTATTTTTACTGTGGCACGAGCATGTGTATTATTTGTATACAAGCGGGTGTGGGCGCACGGTGACTGATCGCTGACACAGCCAGCGATAACCTTTGAATTTATATCAAATGCGCATCGCACAAACGGTATCGTAAACCGAATTAGATGCCCGCTGATGTCGTCCTGACCATCCATCCCTGACATGGCGCCAGCCAAGCGCCTAGTAACGCAAGACGATAAGTAACTACCTACCTAATAATGGTTTGCTTCTGTCAAGAGTCTGTTAAATTTAATTCATTTTCATGATATGCGAGCCTTCATAACAGAATAAATTTTGTTTATGAAATTACGTAAATCTTCGTCAATTTTAAATCTACGTTAATAACTTTTTGCAAAAGATAGGATTTACGTCCCATGTTAAGTCATGGTTCAATTTTAATGGAATTTGGAGACTAAATATAGTAATAGGTAAACAATATTTCATCTTTTTTACTATCATTATATCAGCCATTAAATGTCTACTGCTGTCTACTACTGTAGTTGGCACGCTTGGCAGGCGAGTTTTAGTGATGTTTTAAGAGGGATACTTCTGCCCATCCCTCACCCGTTCAGTTCCCTAAATTGCCCCTTACGACACCCATTGTTACTATACTAAAGAGAAACATGGTCTTTTAGAATTTAGTATTCATGAGTGAATCTGTGCAGCTTTTTTTATAACATAGGCAAATGAGCACGTAGTTTACCTGATAATTAATTACCATCGTCAATAGACATTCGTATAACTTTTCCCAAGTAATTTTTTTTTTTTTTTTCATTTCATTTATTTTTAATACACTACAATACAGATACAATAATTTATTCAATACAATACAAATTTGAAACAAAACAAAACAACTTCATAGACACAAATGAACAATGATTGTAGTGACAACCATACTAATGCCAAAACTGATATGAAAATAATTTTCAGCCCTTTCTTAATAAATTGACTACGAGAGCCTGAACTTTCTTTAATATAGCGTTCATCCTCTCTATCCTTGACTTTGATTACCCATTAACATTCCCCCACTGTATAAATAAACTGATATAGCATAGTAGGTATATTACGCTGACCGGGACCTTGGTATAGGGTTACTTTTCTTATTATATTTGCCTTCTCTTACACTCTCGTATATGTTCTTTACTTCTTAGTTGGTTTTTACAACAGCTTGAATATGAAAAGGAAAATCCTTCCTACACAATTTACCTATATTTCAATCAGTTTTGGAATTATGATAATTATTATTTTTAACTACTTAAGTAATTAAAATGAACTTACTTTCCAATAATTAAACCATTAATGATATTTCATCAATGACTTATGGTAATGTAATGACTATTTAGTTAGAATCTGTTAATTTTTGTACTAATTTTATATTGTAATATACCTATAGATCCTAGATAACTAACGCTAGTTGTACGGATATTGGAATTTATTAGTTGATAATTATTTAGGAATTCGTCATAAATTTACTAGATACTATTATAATCATTAATGATGGTATTTCATTATAATTATCATCATTATTGCATCAAGCCTTACATTGTCAACCGTTATATGTCTATTACATGTGCATATTAATTAGGTGAAAACCACTAAATGTACTTTAATACGTCATTGCCCACTACAAGAACTCAAAATTTTTACAGAAGCCAGTGCAATCGTGTGATTCTGGATCATTAAATTTCAATTTTATACTTTCTTTCAAGTTAAACTATTTAATTTCTTTTCTGTAATAGACACAGTTGCTATGCTTACAATATTTTTAGAGTCATTTATAATTATCGAATAAATAAAATACCGATTGTCGTGTATTAGCTACATCTCTGAAAATTGTATCTATTACCTACATATTTGTAACATATAATATGTATATTAATCTACTGCTAATAATAACTACCCACTCACTACTTTCTATGCCACTGTGCTTTTTTTTATTTTTTAATGGGTGATAATGAAATGGTAACCTCACCGGCGCTATCAGTATACGCTGGCGAGGCACCAGTAAGGAGTGATAAGTGGCGATGAAACTAGGTCCATAAGCCCATCGTGACGAATTCAACTTAAATTAACCACCATAGTTTTTTTGGGGGGAAAGGAATTGTTAGTAATAGAGACTGAGAATCCCATTGCTAGCAATATACCCAACCAGGTCGACCTCCTCGCGGTTCCCCCTGGAAACTATTATGGTTAATTCCTGATGAATTTATCATCTTCACTGATGCTCCGCCAGCGTATCCCGTTAGCGCAGGCGGGGTTACCATACCATTTTCACCCATCAAAAAAAAAATTAGTTTGCGTATTAAAAAAAAACTGCAAGCTAGTCCTACTATTCACTTTCTATCTATCACTACAGTTAGTGTATAATAATAAAACAACAAAAGACCAATAGAATTCATTCATTTCATGGTCATAGTAAAATAAATTTACTTTCTTTAAAATATAGATAACAAAGGTACTACTTATATTTTGTTTCGAATTTCTTGGAACGGCCATAAGTTGAACTATAAAACGTTTCAAGGTTATCCATTCATTACCGGACACTCTGTTTATCGATATTTTCTTTAATATTGCAGAACATACTTTTGTTCTATCACCAATAGTTTCCGCAGCGCATGCGACGAAAGATATTTTATAGCATTGTTTTTTACACCTTGAGTTACGTTACTAAAGTTTTAGTAAGCATCCCTAATATTTTCTAGCAATAAATATAGCCTATGTTACTCAGCGTGAATGTAGCTTTCTAATCGTGAAAGAATTTTTGAAATCGGCATAGTAGTTTTTGAGTTTATTCATTACAAACATACATACACACAAAAACACAAATCTTTCCTTTTTATAATATTAGTTAGTGTACATTTATAATTATAACGCTGCCCTTTCTTTAGAACAAGGCTCCCTGGCTGATCCCTAACCAATAATTATAAAACAATTTGGGTTGGATAGGAGGATTAAATAAATTAAAAAAAAAAAAAATAAAAAAATAACACGTTTATTGCCTGAATGCAATCCGAAAGCACATACTATTCAGTACGCGCTCTCCGTCAACGTTATAGTCACAAAAATATCGTTTCACTCTATACAACATAACATAGTAGTAAATCATAGTTTATAGAACAATTGTTTCAAATTATCACTATATAATTTACGCGGCACTGACTGGTTGATCATTCGGTTACAAAACGTGCGATTGATTCCATTCGAGCGCATGGTTCTCTCTCTCCTCGTGCACTTTAAGAAGAACCAAGTCCATAGCTGCCCGAGCATCTTCTAAAGGCGAATGACCTGCGATGTCATGCTGTATGATTCTTCCAAGGAATTCCTTAGAAAGATCACGTAACGATCGCTTTAATGGGAAGCCTTTGGCGTGAGGGTATAATACACATGTGTCCAGTACTGCACTATGTAATAATTTCAACGCTCTGAGGTCGTTATCTAAAGCGTGGCCAATCAGTATCGTATCGGTTCCAACGAATCCTAGTATGTCGTTCTGCACATCTCTTAAAGTCTTGGTCGCGCGACCCAAGTCGCGCGGCCTGATGCCTGAGAACCGGGTATTGTGGTCAACAACAGGCGACTCTGGTTTAACATATGCTTTATATACTAGTCGGCCATCTGGTGCTATAACGGCAATACTCGTTAGTTCCAATCCTGCCGTTGTATAACACATTTCTGTGTCGAGCGCATATACTCCTCCGCGTGGTGAACGCGCTCGTACATATCCCTCAAAAGGCCCGTTCATACCCGGTCGTGTACCACTCCATACGTGGAAGCATGCTAGTGTGCAACCTCTGGTACCGAACACCGCCTCACAACATGTATACCTGTCTCCCATGAGACGGCCCCAGTGGTACATACACGACTCCTTTTTTAAATAATCGCCTTCGCGAGTCACTTCATATACGTTATTGCAACGCACACACAAATGTACATCCACGGCATCGGTTTCTTCTTCACTGTCGGACCGTGAAGTTGAGCCCCACGAACCTTGCCCGCTGTCACCATATGAATCGCTTGGCACGAACTCCGGAGCGTTAACGTCCCACGTCGATACGGTATACGGTAGGGGTCGCGATCGAAGCGGCGGATTTATGTAGAACACTGCCTTCAATGAGTCTGGCTCTATTTCCAGGGGATATCCTAATGCCCACATCCGCTCTGGTGGCAGAAGGTGAGGGCGAAGAGCCTCTGCTAGGTCTTCCGAAGAGATTCTCTGCGGCGTCGACGGCGCGAACGGGGGAAAGTGTAGTTCACGCGGCTCGTGCAGGTGTGCTGCGATGCTGGCAGAATCCACCGTCGTGACGGTCTCTTGATTAAACCGATCATTAAATTCCATATAGTAATACATGTTTCTCCTCTGGCTGGTATACACATGGATTAAACAATTAATACGGAGCTGGAGCCGACTGATACGTGCAGTCGGGCGAGCAGTCGCTGTACTAATGCGCTTTGCTAGGGCACCCCGCGCTATATATACGTTACGATGCAGGTACATAGGTACATAGGTGCGATAGCGCACCTTCATTAACGGGACATTAAATACATTAATTATTTAATGTATTACTTATAATGTCCGTTCAAACAAATCTAATTGTTTCCAAAATAGGAACAATTAGTTAATTGAAGCTATTTCTCAAAATAGTAATATAATAAACATTAAGTAATATTACTGCTCAAATTACTCTTAATTGCTCCCATTTCAAAATGAAGGTATTAGTCAAAATAATAATATAATAAAATTAATATAGGCAACTGGATATTGATATATGTAAATATATTCTAAGAAATAAATAATAAAGGCATTTTTTTTTACTATTTTCCAAATAATGACAATTAATAATAATTATGTTTAATAAGAAACATATTTATTCCAACGACGAAACAAATGGTCTAAATAACTTACAAAAGATCAATCTTCGCAAAAATGCGCATATGTAATTCATAAATAATGTTTTACTTATTTATATTACAATTAATATTCCTCTGAAGATTTAACTACCAAACCACAGGGTAAAACAGACTGTTACCGTTATTAGTAAAGTAACATATTTTCATTAAAATTTTGGTTATCTATCGCTGTATACACTTAATTTAAAACTCTAACAAAAGTATATTCTTTATAGTCGTGAATATATAATTTTTTTTATTATTTTTATCCCGTCTTATCAATGCGTTAACTCAGATTTCATAACAAAAAATAATTCGATAAACTTGTTTGCACACAGACGATATGCCTCTATTATACTCGTACTTATGAGTAGGTATGTACGGACGAGTGAGCGTGTTTTTAAACGGAATGAAGCTACTGCTCATGTTATTTTTACTGTGGCACGAGCATGTGTATTATTTGTATACAAGCGGGTGTGGGCGCACGGTGACTGATCGCTGACACAGCCAGCGATAACCTTTGAATTTATATCAAATGCGCATCGCACAAACGGTATCGTAAACCGAATTAGATGCCCGCTGATGTCGTCCTGACCATCCATCCCTGACATGGCGCCAGCCAAGCGCCTAGTAACGCAAGACGATAAGTAACTACCTACCTAATAATGGTTTGCTTCTGTCAAGAGTCTGTTAAATTTAATTCATTTTCATGATATGCGAGCCTTCATAACAGAATAAATTTTGTTTATGAAATTACGTAAATCTTCGTCAATTTTAAATCTACGTTAATAACTTTTTGCAAAAGATAGGATTTACGTCCCATGTTAAGTCATGGTTCAATTTTAATGGAATTTGGAGACTAAATATAGTAATAGGTAAACAATATTTCATCTTTTTTACTATCATTATATCAGCCATTAAATGTCTACTGCTGTCTACTACTGTAGTTGGCACGCTTGGCAGGCGAGTTTTAGTGATGTTTTAAGAGGGATACTTCTGCCCATCCCTCACCCGTTCAGTTCCCTAAATTGCCCCTTACGACACCCATTGTTACTATACTAAAGAGAAACATGGTCTTTTAGAATTTAGTATTCATGAGTGAATCTGTGCAGCTTTTTTTATAACATAGGCAAATGAGCACGTAGTTTACCTGATAATTAATTACCATCGTCAATAGACATTCGTATAACTTTTCCCAAGTAATTTTTTTTTTTTTTCATTTCATTTATTTTTAATACACTACAATACAGATACAATAATTTATTCAATACAATACAAATTTGAAACAAAACAAAACAACTTCATAGACACAAATGAACAATGATTGTAGTGACAACCATACTAATGCCAAAACTGATATGAAAATAATTTTCAGCCCTTTCTTAATAAATTGACTACGAGAGCCTGAACTTTCTTTAATATAGCGTTCATCCTCTCTATCCTTGACTTTGATTACCCATTAACATTCCCCCACTGTATAAATAAACTGATATAGCATAGTAGGTATATTACGCTGACCGGGACCTTGGTATAGGGTTACTTTTCTTATTATATTTGCCTTCTCTTACACTCTCGTATATGTTCTTTACTTCTTAGTTGGTTTTTACAACAGCTTGAATATGAAAAGGAAAATCCTTCCTACACAATTTACCTATATTTCAATCAGTTTTGGAATTATGATAATTATTATTTTTAACTACTTAAGTAATTAAAATGAACTTACTTTCCAATAATTAAACCATTAATGATATTTCATCAATGACTTATGGTAATGTAATGACTATTTAGTTAGAATCTGTTAATTTTTGTACTAATTTTATATTGTAATATACCTATAGATCCTAGATAACTAACGCTAGTTGTACGGATATTGGAATTTATTAGTTGATAATTATTTAGGAATTCGTCATAAATTTACTAGATACTATTATAATCATTAATGATGGTATTTCATTATAATTATCATCATTATTGCATCAAGCCTTACATTGTCAACCGTTATATGTCTATTACATGTGCATATTAATTAGGTGAAAACCACTAAATGTACTTTAATACGTCATTGCCCACTACAAGAACTCAAAATTTTTACAGAAGCCAGTGCAATCGTGTGATTCTGGATCATTAAATTTCAATTTTATACTTTCTTTCAAGTTAAACTATTTAATTTCTTTTCTGTAATAGACACAGTTGCTATGCTTACAATATTTTTAGAGTCATTTATAATTATCGAATAAATAAAATACCGATTGTCGTGTATTAGCTACATCTCTGAAAATTGTATCTATTACCTACATATTTGTAACATATAATATGTATATTAATCTACTGCTAATAATAACTACCCACTCACTACTTTCTATGCCACTGTGCTTTTTTTTATTTTTTAATGGGTGATAATGAAATGGTAACCTCACCGGCGCTATCAGTATACGCTGGCGAGGCACCAGTAAGGAGTGATAAGTGGCGATGAAACTAGGTCCATAAGCCCATCGTGACGAATTCAACTTAAATTAACCACCATAGTTTTTTTGGGGGGAAAGGAATTGTTAGTAATAGAGACTGAGAATCCCATTGCTAGCAATATACCCAACCAGGTCGACCTCCTCGCGGTTCCCCCTGGAAACTATTATGGTTAATTCCTGATGAATTTATCATCTTCACTGATGCTCCGCCAGCGTATCCCGTTAGCGCAGGCGGGGTTACCATACCATTTTCACCCATCAAAAAAAAAATTAGTTTGCGTATTAAAAAAAAACTGCAAGCTAGTCCTACTATTCACTTTCTATCTATCACTACAGTTAGTGTATAATAATAAAACAACAAAAGACCAATAGAATTCATTCATTTCATGGTCATAGTAAAATAAATTTACTTTCTTTAAAATATAGATAACAAAGGTACTACTTATATTTTGTTTCGAATTTCTTGGAACGGCCATAAGTTGAACTATAAAACGTTTCAAGGTTATCCATTCATTACCGGACACTCTGTTTATCGATATTTTCTTTAATATTGCAGAACATACTTTTGTTCTATCACCAATAGTTTCCGCAGCGCATGCGACGAAAGATATTTTATAGCATTGTTTTTTACACCTTGAGTTACGTTACTAAAGTTTTAGTAAGCATCCCTAATATTTTCTAGCAATAAATATAGCCTATGTTACTCAGCGTGAATGTAGCTTTCTAATCGTGAAAGAATTTTTGAAATCGGCATAGTAGTTTTTGAGTTTATTCATTACAAACATACATACATACACACAAAAACACAAATCTTTCCTTTTTATAATATTAGTTAGTGTACATTTATAATTATAACGCTGCCCTTTCTTTAGAACAAGGCTCCCTGGCTGATCCCTAACCAATAATTATAAAACAATTTGGGTTGGATAGGAGGATTAAATAAATTAAAAAAAAAAAAATAAAAAAATAACACGTTTATTGCCTGAATGCAATCCGAAAGCACATACTATTCAGTACGCGCTCTCCGTCAACGTTATAGTCACAAAAATATCGTTTCACTCTATACAACATAACATAGTAGTAAATCATAGTTTATAGAACAATTGTTTCAAATTATCACTATATAATTTACGCGGCACTGACTGGTTGATCATTCGGTTACAAAACGTGCGATTGATTCCATTCGAGCGCATGGTTCTCTCTCTCCTCGTGCACTTTAAGAAGAACCAAGTCCATAGCTGCCCGAGCATCTTCTAAAGGCGAATGACCTGCGATGTCATGCTGTATGATTCTTCCAAGGAATTCCTTAGAAAGATCACGTAACGATCGCTTTAATGGGAAGCCTTTGGCGTGAGGGTATAATACACATGTGTCCAGTACTGCACTATGTAATAATTTCAACGCTCTGAGGTCGTTATCTAAAGCGTGGCCAATCAGTATCGTATCGGTTCCAACGAATCCTAGTATGTCGTTCTGCACATCTCTTAAAGTCTTGGTCGCGCGACCCAAGTCGCGCGGCCTGATGCCTGAGAACCGGGTATTGTGGTCAACAACAGGCGACTCTGGTTTAACATATGCTTTATATACTAGTCGGCCATCTGGTGCTATAACGGCAATACTCGTTAGTTCCAATCCTGCCGTTGTATAACACATTTCTGTGTCGAGCGCATATACTCCTCCGCGTGGTGAACGCGCTCGTACATATCCCTCAAAAGGCCCGTTCATACCCGGTCGTGTACCACTCCATACGTGGAAGCATGCTAGTGTGCAACCTCTGGTACCGAACACCGCCTCACAACATGTATACCTGTCTCCCATGAGACGGCCCCAGTGGTACATACACGACTCCTTTTTTAAATAATCGCCTTCGCGAGTCACTTCATATACGTTATTGCAACGCACACACAAATGTACATCCACGGCATCGGTTTCTTCTTCACTGTCGGACCGTGAAGTTGAGCCCCACGAACCTTGCCCGCTGTCACCATATGAATCGCTTGGCACGAACTCCGGAGCGTTAACGTCCCACGTCGATACGGTATACGGTAGGGGTCGCGATCGAAGCGGCGGATTTATGTAGAACACTGCCTTCAATGAGTCTGGCTCTATTTCCAGGGGATATCCTAATGCCCACATCCGCTCTGGTGGCAGAAGGTGAGGGCGAAGAGCCTCTGCTAGGTCTTCCGAAGAGATTCTCTGCGGCGTCGACGGCGCGAACGGGGGAAAGTGTAGTTCACGCGGCTCGTGCAGGTGTGCTGCGATGCTGGCAGAATCCACCGTCGTGACGGTCTCTTGATTAAACCGATCATTAAATTCCATATAGTAATACATGTTTCTCCTCTGGCTGGTATACACATGGATTAAACAATTAATACGGAGCTGGAGCCGACTGATACGTGCAGTCGGGCGAGCAGTCGCTGTACTAATGCGCTTTGCTAGGGCACCCCGCGCTATATATACGTTACGATGCAGGTACATAGGTACATAGGTGCGATAGCGCACCTTCATTAACGGGACATTAAATACATTAATTATTTAATGTATTACTTATAATGTCCGTTCAAACAAATCTAATTGTTTCCAAAATAGGAACAATTAGTTAATTGAAGCTATTTCTCAAAATAGTAATATAATAAACATTAAGTAATATTACTGCTCAAATTACTCTTAATTGCTCCCATTTCAAAATGAAGGTATTAGTCAAAATAATAATATAATAAAATTAATATAGGCAACTGGATATTGATATATGTAAATATATTCTAAGAAATAAATAATAAAGGCATTTTTTTTTACTATTTTCCAAATAATGACAATTAATAATAATTATGTTTAATAAGAAACATATTTATTCCAACGACGAAACAAATGGTCTAAATAACTTACAAAAGATCAATCTTCGCAAAAATGCGCATATGTAATTCATAAATAATGTTTTACTTATTTATATTACAATTAATATTCCTCTGAAGATTTAACTACCAAACCACAGGGTAAAACAGACTGTTACCGTTATTAGTAAAGTAACATATTTTCATTAAAATTTTGGTTATCTATCGCTGTATACACTTAATTTAAAACTCTAACAAAAGTATATTCTTTATAGTCGTGAATATATAATTTTTTTTATTATTTTTATCCCGTCTTATCAATGCGTTAACTCAGATTTCATAACAAAAAATAATTCGATAAACTTGTTTGCACACAGACGATATGCCTCTATTATACTCGTACTTATGAGTAGGTATGTACGGACGAGTGAGCGTGTTTTTAAACGGAATGAAGCTACTGCTCATGTTATTTTTACTGTGGCACGAGCATGTGTATTATTTGTATACAAGCGGGTGTGGGCGCACGGTGACTGATCGCTGACACAGCCAGCGATAACCTTTGAATTTATATCAAATGCGCATCGCACAAACGGTATCGTAAACCGAATTAGATGCCCGCTGATGTCGTCCTGACCATCCATCCCTGACATGGCGCCAGCCAAGCGCCTAGTAACGCAAGACGATAAGTAACTACCTACCTAATAATGGTTTGCTTCTGTCAAGAGTCTGTTAAATTTAATTCATTTTCATGATATGCGAGCCTTCATAACAGAATAAATTTTGTTTATGAAATTACGTAAATCTTCGTCAATTTTAAATCTACGTTAATAACTTTTTGCAAAAGATAGGATTTACGTCCCATGTTAAGTCATGGTTCAATTTTAATGGAATTTGGAGACTAAATATAGTAATAGGTAAACAATATTTCATCTTTTTTACTATCATTATATCAGCCATTAAATGTCTACTGCTGTCTACTACTGTAGTTGGCACGCTTGGCAGGCGAGTTTTAGTGATGTTTTAAGAGGGATACTTCTGCCCATCCCTCACCCGTTCAGTTCCCTAAATTGCCCCTTACGACACCCATTGTTACTATACTAAAGAGAAACATGGTCTTTTAGAATTTAGTATTCATGAGTGAATCTGTGCAGCTTTTTTATAACATAGGCAAATGAGCACGTAGTTTACCTGATAATTAATTACCATCGTCAATAGACATTCGTATAACTTTTCCCAAGTAATTTTTTTTTTTTTCATTTCATTTATTTTTAATACACTACAATACAGATACAATAATTTATTCAATACAATACAAATTTGAAACAAAACAAAACAACTTCATAGACACAAATGAACAATGATTGTAGTGACAACCATACTAATGCCAAAACTGATATGAAAATAATTTTCAGCCCTTTCTTAATAAATTGACTACGAGAGCCTGAACTTTCTTTAATATAGCGTTCATCCTCTCTATCCTTGACTTTGATTACCCATTAACATTCCCCCACTGTATAAATAAACTGATATAGCATAGTAGGTATATTACGCTGACCGGGACCTTGGTATAGGGTTACTTTTCTTATTATATTTGCCTTCTCTTACACTCTCGTATATGTTCTTTACTTCTTAGTTGGTTTTTACAACAGCTTGAATATGAAAAGGAAAATCCTTCCTACACAATTTACCTATATTTCAATCAGTTTTGGAATTATGATAATTATTATTTTTAACTACTTAAGTAATTAAAATGAACTTACTTTCCAATAATTAAACCATTAATGATATTTCATCAATGACTTATGGTAATGTAATGACTATTTAGTTAGAATCTGTTAATTTTTGTACTAATTTTATATTGTAATATACCTATAGATCCTAGATAACTAACGCTAGTTGTACGGATATTGGAATTTATTAGTTGATAATTATTTAGGAATTCGTCATAAATTTACTAGATACTATTATAATCATTAATGATGGTATTTCATTATAATTATCATCATTATTGCATCAAGCCTTACATTGTCAACCGTTATATGTCTATTACATGTGCATATTAATTAGGTGAAAACCACTAAATGTACTTTAATACGTCATTGCCCACTACAAGAACTCAAAATTTTTACAGAAGCCAGTGCAATCGTGTGATTCTGGATCATTAAATTTCAATTTTATACTTTCTTTCAAGTTAAACTATTTAATTTCTTTTCTGTAATAGACACAGTTGCTATGCTTACAATATTTTTAGAGTCATTTATAATTATCGAATAAATAAAATACCGATTGTCGTGTATTAGCTACATCTCTGAAAATTGTATCTATTACCTACATATTTGTAACATATAATATGTATATTAATCTACTGCTAATAATAACTACCCACTCACTACTTTCTATGCCACTGTGCTTTTTTTTATTTTTTAATGGGTGATAATGAAATGGTAACCTCACCGGCGCTATCAGTATACGCTGGCGAGGCACCAGTAAGGAGTGATAAGTGGCGATGAAACTAGGTCCATAAGCCCATCGTGACGAATTCAACTTAAATTAACCACCATAGTTTTTTTGGGGGGGAAAGGAATTGTTAGTAATAGAGACTGAGAATCCCATTGCTAGCAATATACCCAACCAGGTCGACCTCCTCGCGGTTCCCCCTGGAAACTATTATGGTTAATTCCTGATGAATTTATCATCTTCACTGATGCTCCGCCAGCGTATCCCGTTAGCGCAGGCGGGGTTACCATACCATTTTCACCCATCAAAAAAAAAATTAGTTTGCGTATTAAAAAAAAACTGCAAGCTAGTCCTACTATTCACTTTCTATCTATCACTACAGTTAGTGTATAATAATAAAACAACAAAAGACCAATAGAATTCATTCATTTCATGGTCATAGTAAAATAAATTTACTTTCTTTAAAATATAGATAACAAAGGTACTACTTATATTTTGTTTCGAATTTCTTGGAACGGCCATAAGTTGAACTATAAAACGTTTCAAGGTTATCCATTCATTACCGGACACTCTGTTTATCGATATTTTCTTTAATATTGCAGAACATACTTTTGTTCTATCACCAATAGTTTCCGCAGCGCATGCGACGAAAGATATTTTATAGCATTGTTTTTTACACCTTGAGTTACGTTACTAAAGTTTTAGTAAGCATCCCTAATATTTTCTAGCAATAAATATAGCCTATGTTACTCAGCGTGAATGTAGCTTTCTAATCGTGAAAGAATTTTTGAAATCGGCATAGTAGTTTTTGAGTTTATTCATTACAAACATACATACACACAAAAACACAAATCTTTCCTTTTTATAATATTAGTTAGTGTACATTTATAATTATAACGCTGCCCTTTCTTTAGAACAAGGCTCCCTGGCTGATCCCTAACCAATAATTATAAAACAATTTGGGTTGGATAGGAGGATTAAATAAATTAAAAAAAAAAAAAAAATAAAAAAATAACACGTTTATTGCCTGAATGCAATCCGAAAGCACATACTATTCAGTACGCGCTCTCCGTCAACGTTATAGTCACAAAAATATCGTTTCACTCTATACAACATAACATAGTAGTAAATCATAGTTTATAGAACAATTGTTTCAAATTATCACTATATAATTTACGCGGCACTGACTGGTTGATCATTCGGTTACAAAACGTGCGATTGATTCCATTCGAGCGCATGGTTCTCTCTCTCCTCGTGCACTTTAAGAAGAACCAAGTCCATAGCTGCCCGAGCATCTTCTAAAGGCGAATGACCTGCGATGTCATGCTGTATGATTCTTCCAAGGAATTCCTTAGAAAGAACACGTAACGATCGCTTTAATGGGAAGCCTTTGGCGTGAGGGTATAATACACATGTGTCCAGTACTGCACTATGTAATAATTTCAACGCTCTGAGGTCGTTATCTAAAGCGTGGCCAATCAGTATCGTATCGGTTCCAACGAATCCTAGTATGTCGTTCTGCACATCTCTTAAAGTCTTGGTCGCGCGACCCAAGTCGCGCGGCCTGATGCCTGAGAACCGGGTATTGTGGTCAACAACAGGCGACTCTGGTTTAACATATGCTTTATATACTAGTCGGCCATCTGGTGCTATAACGGCAATACTCGTTAGTTCCAATCCTGCCGTTGTATAACACATTTCTGTGTCGAGCGCATATACTCCTCCGCGTGGTGAACGCGCTCGTACATATCCCTCAAAAGGCCCGTTCATACCCGGTCGTGTACCACTCCATACGTGGAAGCATGCTAGTGTGCAACCTCTGGTACCGAACACCGCCTCACAACATGTATACCTGTCTCCCATGAGACGGCCCCAGTGGTACATACACGACTCCTTTTTTAAATAATCGCCTTCGCGAGTCACTTCATATACGTTATTGCAACGCACACACAAATGTACATCCACGGCATCGGTTTCTTCTTCACTGTCGGACCGTGAAGTTGAGCCCCACGAACCTTGCCCGCTGTCACCATATGAATCGCTTGGCACGAACTCCGGAGCGTTAACGTCCCACGTCGATACGGTATACGGTAGGGGTCGCGATCGAAGCGGCGGATTTATGTAGAACACTGCCTTCAATGAGTCTGGCTCTATTTCCAGGGGATATCCTAATGCCCACATCCGCTCTGGTGGCAGAAGGTGAGGGCGAAGAGCCTCTGCTAGGTCTTCCGAAGAGATTCTCTGCGGCGTCGACGGCGCGAACGGGGGAAAGTGTAGTTCACGCGGCTCGTGCAGGTGTGCTGCGATGCTGGCAGAATCCACCGTCGTGACGGTCTCTTGATTAAACCGATCATTAAATTCCATATAGTAATACATGTTTCTCCTCTGGCTGGTATACACATGGATTAAACAATTAATACGGAGCTGGAGCCGACTGATACGTGCAGTCGGGCGAGCAGTCGCTGTACTAATGCGCTTTGCTAGGGCACCCCCGCGCTATATATACGTTACGATGCAGGTACATAGGTACATAGGTGCGATAGCGCACCTTCATTAACGGGACATTAAATACATTAATTATTTAATGTATTACTTATAATGTCCGTTCAAACAAATCTAATTGTTTCCAAAATAGGAACAATTAGTTAATTGAAGCTATTTCTCAAAATAGTAATATAATAAACATTAAGTAATATTACTGCTCAAATTACTCTTAATTGCTCCCATTTCAAAATGAAGGTATTAGTCAAAATAATAATATAATAAAATTAATATAGGCAACTGGATATTGATATATGTAAATATATTCTAAGAAATAAATAATAAAGGCATTTTTTTTTACTATTTTCCAAATAATGACAATTAATAATAATTATGTTTAATAAGAAACATATTTATTCCAACGACGAAACAAATGGTCTAAATAACTTACAAAAGATCAATCTTCGCAAAAATGCGCATATGTAATTCATAAATAATGTTTTACTTATTTATATTACAATTAATATTCCTCTGAAGATTTAACTACCAAACCACAGGGTAAAACAGACTGTTACCGTTATTAGTAAAGTAACATATTTTCATTAAAATTTTGGTTATCTATCGCTGTATACACTTAATTTAAAACTCTAACAAAAGTATATTCTTTATAGTCGTGAATATATAATTTTTTTTATTATTTTTATCCCGTCTTATCAATGCGTTAACTCAGATTTCATAACAAAAAATAATTCGATAAACTTGTTTGCACACAGACGATATGCCTCTATTATACTCGTACTTATGAGTAGGTATGTACGGACGAGTGAGCGTGTTTTTAAACGGAATGAAGCTACTGCTCATGTTATTTTTACTGTGGCACGAGCATGTGTATTATTTGTATACAAGCGGGTGTGGGCGCACGGTGACTGATCGCTGACACAGCCAGCGATAACCTTTGAATTTATATCAAATGCGCATCGCACAAACGGTATCGTAAACCGAATTAGATGCCCGCTGATGTCGTCCTGACCATCCATCCCTGACATGGCGCCAGCCAAGCGCCTAGTAACGCAAGACGATAAGTAACTACCTACCTAATAATGGTTTGCTTCTGTCAAGAGTCTGTTAAATTTAATTCATTTTCATGATATGCGAGCCTTCATAACAGAATAAATTTTGTTTATGAAATTACGTAAATCTTCGTCAATTTTAAATCTACGTTAATAACTTTTTGCAAAAGATAGGATTTACGTCCCATGTTAAGTCATGGTTCAATTTTAATGGAATTTGGAGACTAAATATAGTAATAGGTAAACAATATTTCATCTTTTTTACTATCATTATATCAGCCATTAAATGTCTACTGCTGTCTACTACTGTAGTTGGCACGCTTGGCAGGCGAGTTTTAGTGATGTTTTAAGAGGGATACTTCTGCCCATCCCTCACCCGTTCAGTTCCCTAAATTGCCCCTTACGACACCCATTGTTACTATACTAAAGAGAAACATGGTCTTTTAGAATTTAGTATTCATGAGTGAATCTGTGCAGCTTTTTTTATAACATAGGCAAATGAGCACGTAGTTTACCTGATAATTAATTACCATCGTCAATAGACATTCGTATAACTTTTCCCAAGTAATTTTTTTTTTTTCATTTCATTTATTTTTAATACACTACAATACAGATACAATAATTTATTCAATACAATACAAATTTGAAACAAAACAAAACAACTTCATAGACACAAATGAACAATGATTGTAGTGACAACCATACTAATGCCAAAACTGATATGAAAATAATTTTCAGCCCTTTCTTAATAAATTGACTACGAGAGCCTGAACTTTCTTTAATATAGCGTTCATCCTCTCTATCCTTGACTTTGATTACCCATTAACATCCCCCCACTGTATAAATAGACTGATATAGCATAGTAGGTATATTACGCTGACCGGGACCTTGGTATAGGGTTACTTTTCTTATTATATTTGCCTTCTCTTACACTCTCGTATATGTTCTTTACTTCTTAGTTGGTTTTTACAACAGCTTGAATATGAAAAGGAGAATCCTTCCTACACAATTTACCTATATTTCAATCAGTTTTGGAATTATGATAATTATTATTTTTAACTACTTAAGTAATTAAAATGAACCTACTTTCCAATAATTAAACCATTAATGATATTTCATCAATGACTTATGGTAATGTAATGACTATTTAGTTAGAATCTGTTAATTTTTGTACTAATTTTATATTGTAATATACCTATAGATCCTAGATAACTAACGCTAGTTGTACGGATATTGGAATTTATTAGTTGATAATTATTTAGGAATTCGACATAAATTTACTAGATACTATTATAATCATTAATGATGGTATTTCATTATAATTATCATCATTATTCCATCAAGCCTTACATTGTCAACCGTTATATGTCTATTACATGTGCATATTAATTAGGTGAAAACCACTAAATGTACTTTAATACGTCATTGCCCACTACAAGAACTCAAAATTTTTACAGAAGCCAGTGCAATCGTGTGATTCTGGATCATTAAATTTCAATTTTATACTTTCTTTCAAGTTAAACTATTTAATTTCTTTTCTGTAATAGACACAGTTGCTATGCTTACAATATTTTTAGAGTCATTTATAATTATCGAATAAATAAAATACCGATTGTCGTGTATTAGCTACATCTCTGAAAATTGTATCTATTGCCTACATATTTGTAACATATAATATGTATATTAATCTACTGCTAATAATAACTACCCACTCACAACTTTCTATGCCACTGTGCTTTTTTTATTTTTTAATGGGTGATAATGAAATGGTAACCTCACCGGCGCTATCAGTATACGCTGGCGAGGCACCAGTAAGGAGTGATAAGTGGCGATGAAACTAGGTCCATAAGCCCATCGTGACGAATTCAACTTAAATTAACCACCATAATTTTTTTGGGGGGGAAAGGAATTGTTAGTAATAGAGACTGAGAATCCTATTGCTAGCAATATACCCAACCAGGTCGACCTCCTCGCGGTTCCCCCTGGAAACTATTATGGTTAATTCCTGATGAATTTATCATCTTCACTGGTGCTCCGCCAGCGTATCCCGTTAGCGCAGGCGGGGTTACCATACCATTTTCACCCATCAAAAAAAAAATTTGTTTGCGTATTAAAAAAAAACTGCAAGCTAGTCATACTATTCACTTTCTATCTATCACTACAAACTATCTAAAACAACAAAAGACCAATAGAATTTAATCATTTCTGGTCATAGTAATCAGGACAGTAAAATAAGATAGGAAAAATATTACTTTTCGGCTATAAGTTGAACTATAAGACGTTTCAAGGTTGACCATTCATTACCGGACACCCTGTATAATAAAATATATTTGGATTTGAAAAAATCTGCTATGTGACCAGCAACATTAAAAGAACTATATACATATAGTATATGTCTTAGAAATTAATATAGTTTTTTTTTTTTAATTTATCCTAGAAGTATGGTGAACTTCTATTGAAGACTTGTTTTGCGTATAAATGTTAACGCCTACTTCTGATGTACTACTGACTGACAATCGCGGTCAGTGGGCCACGGCAAGCGAAGAGTATTACCGGAACTTATGTTTAAGTTACCTAAGTTAAATGGGTGAGAAAACCTTGACTGGTAACAAAAATTAGAGTAAAATTAACTATACAGGTAGACGTGTATAAAATTCTATTGTAAACAGTACATTTCAAAAACAATTGTTGTATTCGAAATATTAACTTTCTTTTCAAAATAACAGTATATAACCAATATAACAATAGTAGTAAAAAATTTCAAAGAGAAACTTTTGAATGTTATCTCATAAAGATAACATTGTTAAGGATATTATTATATTATTTGGAGAATTTTGAAAAGTTGTAAATATGACCTATTTATCTATTTTAAACAGGTTTCGCATAACAAAGGACACCTCTGGAATCATAAAAGGGCCCGATAATTGTTATATGAACGTGGTGTTTCAAATACTGAAATTTCCGTTTCGAAACAATTACAACAACAGCATATTGTCTTTTAGTTTCAAGATCAAATCATATAATGATATTTATGAATGACAAATATAAATAAATATAATACGCGGCACTTGTGTTTGATTTGCGAAAACAAAAGGGAAACTTGTCATTTGCAATACAGTGCAGTGAGACGTTTCGGTGAAAGTTGAACATCATCGGCTCGTTCAGATGGCAGCAGTGTCCACCAGCACGATGCTACGTATTCAAGTGGGTCAAGGAGCTCACGTTGCCAACATGACTAAGATAGCATGAATCGCACTCAAATTATGAGTAAATCAAATGAACAAATCCATCAATATTATGTGAAACGTAAAAGACCGTTTCTCAATCAGTAAACGCAATACGCATATTTTTTTAACGAAAAACAATAACAGTCACTTGATTGACTAGACCATCAGTCTATTGTTGGACGCACATCGAGACCCGTTATGATAAAGAAAATATGTTATCGTAACCTACAAATTTACATTTCAACATAACTTATATTTGCTTGAGGTGACACTATATTGAACACCTCATTGAGAGACAAATGTCTTTCTCTCAAAAATATCTTATATTCGCATATGGGGTCAGCTAAGCCGTTGCACGTCGACCCATCGGGATCTTTTGTGTTTCCCCCTGCCTTATACCATCATTTCAAAATTTCTCTCAAAAATATCCACAATGGTAAATTACAATAGTGGACAATGCCAATAATGTCTATTTAATAAACTTCTGACAAAGTGTTATAAACTTATTTTCTTTAAGCATGAGGCCTTAGTTCCATCTCTATATATAACTATGATGTCCAATTAATCCTAATAAAAGAGCTTATGGATTCCAATCATAACCGAAAGCCGAACTCCATTCCAAAAATGCTATTATGCTTTTTTTTTAGTTTTTTAGCAAACCTAGCAGGCCTATACATAAATTTAATCTCAATATAGATTTCAATCCAATCTACTGCCAATAACAATATCGTACCGCACTCTTTGAAATCAACAATTGGGAGAATCACAACAACAAATTGAGATCAACAATCGAGATCACGTTCGCAGTAATAAGTAACACTACTAAATCGATTAAAATATTATTTCCATATTATTTTAATTCCTAATGATAATGCTATATGGAACTGCCATGTAATTAGGAATGTCACTCTAAAATGCAAGTCACAATTTCAAAATCAATGGGCAGGAGGTGGTTTCAAGTGTAACCCTACAGGTCCTTAAGATTTCCAATGACTATTAATATCATAGAAGCATTAAAAAAAATTATAGAATATTTCCACGAGAAATATTTGGAATAGACATAGAATAAATATAGCAAATAGATAGGTATGTTGACAAAATGATACAGCTCTATGGCCCTCCGGTCATTGAGGTAACTAACGGTCACTCGGACGAGACAAAACTAGTCTACATGTAACCGGAAAAATAACGTTTTCGGGGCACGTTTAAGACGACGTGGGCTAAAATCGAACTGCCTGACACGAGACCAGAATGTAATACCATAAGCATACGGCATCATCTTTATTAATACAGGAAAATACAGCTAAAAGTAAAACAATTCGTTTAAAGGCAATAATGACAGAGGAAAACACAACTGACTACAACAATCAGAGATTTGTACCTGATTAACTGTGTCCGCGACATCGACAGGAATATATTGATTGACCAGGATAAAAAGTAGTCTATTCGTCTCCATTGTAAATACCACCAGTGTATGACTAACATAACAATTGGTTTTTTATTTATTTTTATGCAACTTAGAATAACACACAAGCTGACGGCTCACCTAATGGAAAGTGCTAACCGTCGCCATTTTACTGTTCATATTTATACATAAGCAATACCATGGTTGAGCTGACAAGGTAACAAACTTCCTTTAGGAAGGAAATAAGGATTTATAATAATAATAATTTATCCATGTTGTCTGTAAGAGATTTATTTTAGCGATTAGGGTACATTTTGTATATACACATTCTGTATAAATACTCCTTGTATAGACACATCTCTATACAATCTTTGTTACACACAGTAGTGTGTTTACAGTATTATTGTTAAATATAATAAACAAAAGTACTGACGAAATGTCCAACAATTAAAATACCAGAAAAGTAAGTTACCTAAAAGTAAATTTGTTAGTTATTGGAGCAAATAAGGCGTCAACAGGTAACAAATATAAATAACAGAGGAATAAGCAGAGAACATGTAGAAAGCTTTTTTTAAATGAAGAATTCCACCATGAATTCTGGGCTATTGCAGTAATACCTACTGTTGAAAATATGACATCGTTATATAATTAAAAATACTTTCGACATTCAATTGTAACATATAACTCTAATACTCGATGTACTTACTCTTTATAAAGATATTGCTACAACCAATCATTGATTGCATTAAGTAAATAAATACTGTATATTACAACACATTCTTTTTTTTTTCTTTATACCACTGAGGTGGCAAACAAGCATACGGCCCACCTGATGGTAAGTGGTTACCGTAGCCTATGAACACCTGCAATACCAGAGGTATTACGCGTGCGTTGCCGACTCTGAAGAAACCTCATTTTACACAGAAACCCTTTTGAAGAACCCCAACACATTCAATTACTGTATACTTTTAATAATATCACTATATTTTACTATCGTTTAATGTATTATCAAAGAAGTTGTAAATGAGGAATCGTCGTTTCCTTTAATCAAATCGCCTATTGATGATTGATAAGTTGAGAAAATTACTTATTATCAACAATATTTTATAGTTAATTGTACATATTATACACATCCTACTCGATCCTGCAGCCATTAAATATTGATTCACATGATTCTAAATATAGTTCAAGAAAGCAAAGCCAACGGTAATTAAATGAGTAACAATGAAAACTCTGGCCAGTTATAATAAATAAACAAGTCCACAACTTTTTACGTGTATATTATTAGATAACTTAAAAATACGTATTTTATCAGAAAAACAATCGCACGCAACAGTCGTTCCAATTACATCAGAAAATATGATCAGAAACAGAGGTGACTTTGCCGGTTTTGTTTAATTTTTTTTTAATTGCCTAATTGTTTATTATTTTACTGAAGGAGATTTTCGATTGATTCGATTACTTAAATAAGTATATTGCAAAATCGGACCATTAAAAAGAAATTTATATGTTACAACAGTGAGTGCACACGTATTGAAGACAGTAATTATTACCATTTTATTCTGAGAATACGACAACTCATTCCTTCCACTGCTGCAAAAGCACTCGTTATTACAGCATTTATTATTAATTTATTAACGTATGTATTTAAAGGAACAAGTTATTAATGAGGTCATCAAGCTATAAATATTAACAAATGAAATCAGACTAATAGACTAATAACTGAACTTCGCATTTTGATTTCCATTGAATGATCTAAATCTCAATACACTAATTAATTATTTTTTTTAATATATGTAAAAATATATAATTTATCTATTATATACACACTTTACATCTAAGTACTATAAATATCAATAACAAGACCTTAAAAAATTACTTAAAAATAAAAACATTTTTGAGATTACTACCAACTGGTAGGGTACCTAGGAGACTTGCTGCATAAATTCATCTAATGATATATTAGATGAATTTATTAATAAAGGAAGTTACAGTGTTTCATATCACAGTACAAAATAATTACGTAATATTGTGGAAATAGACAATACTCATTATTTTAAGGGTCAGAAAAAGACCATGCGCTCTTTTTTAATACCCGTGTAAGTTTTGTTTTCTGGCAGTGCATTCTAGAGTCAGAGAGTATATTATAACCAGGCTTTAATCACAAACAGATGCGAAGAACAGCCGTCTTCAAAGTATTTGACCGCTTATCTACTGCTTGGTATTACGCCGTATGTAATGTTTATACACGTGTTATAAGCAACTAGTTTTTTATTAATGAATTTTATAATCTAGTTGTTGGGTGTGATTGCGCTCGCTTGGACTCCATTTTTACCCGACCTTAAAAACTCCTAATTAAACTCTACAGCCGAACTTAATCTGTCTTTTTACAGCATCTTCAATCAAGATGACGGCTTTCCTGCTACTTCATAAATTATACAGTGCCGCCCATGGTAACTCTCAAGCATAGTCATTCCTAAGGTCTATGCTTTCATGTTATATGCCTCTGCACCCTAAAATTCTACTGTCATATGCCATGTCCTTCAAACCGGACAAAGCATAAATTGAATCGAATTCTTACTACTTATCTACATATAAATGTAAATATAGAATTACAAATTTAATCGTTATATTTTTACCACATTTGTAAAAACATTTCGTCACATTTGATCACAACGGTCACTGGCTGGTCAGAATTAGAAATGAGTGCATCACTTAGTTGAAAATGCCGCTCTACTTTTTAAATTCTGATTATGTATCTTGAGTTTTTCTTAGTTAAGCTTAATGAAAATTAATCAATCAATCCTGTGGATAATTACAATTTCAGACTTCAATTAGATAAGAGATGAAGTATTTTCATGACAAATTATATGAATTAAAATAATTTAAATATATTAGGTAATTTTAAAATAATTTGAAATGTTAAGTAAGCATATCTCAAACGACGTCATTGCGTTGGGTTCTCCAACGGACATGGAATGCCCCCGACTGGCGCCATAGTGGCGCGTTGTATACAGAATCAAAATCCAAAACACGTCATTTTACTTGTGTAGGTGATTTTAGATGAACCGAATTATATTATTCGGTAGAAACTTTTGCCTGCGAGTATTTCTTGTAATTTTGTAAGCAGAAAAACTTATTTAATAGACTACTTCTAAATGACGTAATAGACACACCGACCAAAATAAAAAAAAGATATTGTTTTGAGGGCAACCTCAAAACATATATTTTTTTTTAAATATCTCATAGAGGCCTAAAGATTAGATCTTTACATGTATTACTGAAAAATCTTTATTTAAAACCTGGTCGTTCTCTCAAACAGCATACATCCTCATCGATCTTGATATTTCCCACCAACATTAAAAAAAGAGGCAATTCTCAGTTCGCTGAAATATATAAAAGTATGTTTGTTACCTTATAACTACGTCGTTTAAA